AAGATCATACAATCTCCAAAAGCTTCTTGAGATTTCCATTTTCCAAAGTGATATATTTAAGGGCATTTAACAACAAACCGCTTATTCATTAATGAATAGGAAACACACCATTCGCCTTCAGTGGGCTATATATGAATAAGCAAGCCAAGACATCCACATTCACCCATTTGCTCTTATCAGTTACATCAGGGGTCCTCAAACTAAGGCCTGAAGGCCAGATATGGCCCTCCAAGGTCATTTACCCGGCCCTCACTCAGGGTCAACCTAAGTCTGAAATGGCTTGAAAGCACACAACAATAACAACAACAACAACAACAACAACAACAACAATTCTATCTCTTCAGCCAAAAGCAGGCCCACACTTCCCACTGAAATACTAATAAGTTTATATTTGTTGAAATTTTCTTCATTTGTTTATTGCATTGTTTTAAAGTGTTTTTTGCACTACAAATAAGATATGTGCAATGTGTATAGGAATTCGTTCAAGCTTTTTCAAATTATAATCCAGCCCTCCAACAGTTTGAGAGACTTTAACCTGGCCCTCTGTTTAAAAACTTTAAGAACATATTGTCGAAGGCTTTCATGGCCGGAATCACTGGGTTGTTGTAGGTTTTTCCAGGCTATATGTCCATGTTCCAGAGGCATTTTCTCCTGACTTTTTGCCTGCATCTATGGCAACCATCCACTGGGTTGTTGTAGGTTTTTCTGGGCTATATGGCTATGTTCTAGAGGCATTTTCTCGTGACGTTTCGCCTGCATCTATGGCAAGCATCCTCAGAGGTAGTGAGACCTCACTACCTCTGAGGATGCTTGCCATAGATGCAGGCGAAACGTCAGGAGAAAATGCCTCTAGAACATGGCCAAATAGCCCGGAAAAACCTACAACAATCCAACTTTGAGGTCCCCTGTATTACATTTTCCTGTTGTGTACTGGCTTAGTGAAAAATGCTGTACACACAGTGTATGGTCTGCTCATTCAAGAGAATTTCCCTGCAATGAGAAAATCATTATATACATCTGCTCCAGAAACTATGGAAAAGAATGTGGGTCATATTTCTTTTGCTCACAGGGATATCTCTAGGATGACTCTCTTAATTTCCTGTACTTATCACCTTATTACCATACATTGTATTTACATTGCTGTCCACACATATAACCCGCTTTTTCATATATATATAAATGTCTTTCCTTGACACTCCATTCCATGATTATGATTTAAACAACAAAAGCTTACCAACATATTTATCTCAGTCTCAAAGGCATTACAGGATTCCTTTGCATTTAAAAGACAGATCTGGCAAATGTACTTGCTAGTTCAAGCCTTTTCCTCAGCAGAGGGCACTATTACTCACACTATGTAACACTTCATTCACAGCAGATTATGAATTCCAGGGGATTGTTATCTTACTCTGAGTCAGCAAACATAACAAGTGCCTTGCAGCAACTCCATGCTTAAGAATGTTATTGTGCCTTGGTGATAAAAACATAACTGTTGGAGTTGTTTCCTTGCTGATACCCCTTGAACAATCTTGGTGATAAGAAGAGAGGACCTCTGAAAGGTCTGCCCTAAGATTAATCCATCTGTTTTGGTCTGCTATAATGCAGGGACCCCAAATATTTTTTTTAAATAGTGATAAGCAGGTATTATTAATTCTACCTCCTTGCAAATTGCAGAGGAAAAGACCAATTACTTTTCCCATTTGTTATCATTGTGGCTTCCTTAAATATGAAGACTGTCCCAAGCACAATGTGTGCCTAATAGTCTCTCGTGTTTTGCATAGGTTGCTCTCAAGTAACAGTCATCCTTTCTTATTCTTATTCCTGGCAGGGCTCAACAAAAATTGCTGTCTCAAAGTGTCTTATTAGTACACATTTCCTTATAGAATCATAGAGTTGGAAGAGACCTCATGGGCCATCCAGTCCAACCCCCTGCCAAGAAGCAGGAATATTGCATTCAAAGCACCCCCAACAGATGGCCACACAGCCTCTGTTTAAAAGCTTCCAAAGAAGGAGCCTCTACCACACTCCGGGGCAGAGAGTTCCACTGCTGGATGGCTCTCACAGTCAGGAAGTTCTTCCTAATGTATAGATGGAATCTCCTTTCTTGTAGTTTGAAGCCATTGTTATGCGTCCTAGTCTCCAAGGCAGCAGAAAACAAATTCGCTCCCTCCTCCCTATGACTTTCTCTCACGTGTTTATACATGGCTATCATGTCTCTTTTCAGCCTTCTCTTCTTCAGGCTAAACATGCCCAGCTCTTTAAGCCGCTTCTCATAGGGCTTGTTCTCCAGACAGTTGGTCATTTTAGTCGCCCTCCTCTGGACACTTTCCAGCTTGTCAATATCTCTCTTCAATTGTGGTGCCCAGAATTGGACACAATATTCCAAATATAACCAAGTCAGAATAGAGGGAAAGCATGACATCCCTGGATCTAGACACTATACTCCTATTGATGCAGACCAAAATCCCATTGGCTTTTTTTGCCGCTGCATCACATTGTTGGCTCATGTTTAACTTGTCCATGAGGACTCCAAGATCTTTTTCACACGTATTGCTCTTGAGCCAGGCATTGTCCCCCATTCTGTACCTTTGCATTTCATTTTTTCTGCCTAAGTGGAGTATCTTGCATTTATCACTGTTGAACTTCATTTTGTTAGATTTGGCCCATCTCTCTAATCTGTTAAGATCATTTTGAATTCTGCTCCTGTCTTCTGGAGTATTGGCTCAAGCCTCTGCTACTGTGAATATAATTCCTATAGCTTACTGTTGTATATGTGTGTATTGGAATGCAATTTAACCTTAACTCTTTGTTGTGGGAAGGGCTGCAGACCATGTGATCAGGTCCAGGCTTGTTCAGGGCTCAGAATCCATTTTAAAACAGTTCAATTTAGACTTCAGTAAGAACTGTATTAGGAACAGAAGCCATTAGACTTTCTAAGAAAGGAACCCTGTGTTATCTGCACAGAGAAACTATTTCAAATCTACTTGCAAATGGATTGATAAGCAAAGTACCTGTATGCTGAATACATGACGTTTGTGAGTAAACCAACTATCTTACTTTTAAAGAAGTCTACTTATTTTTGTTTCTTGAGGGTGAAGGAACCAAAGTTAGAAAAAGCAGGAATACCCCCTCCCATTTGGGAAGGAGCGATATGTATTGTTTCTTTTTGTTTATCTTTTGTAGTGCATATTTTGGTAAAATGCAGAAGTGAGCTTAAGCCAATGAAAGTAGAGGATTTTATAATATGACTAAATATGGGAAACTTGACCTAGGCTAGAACTGTGACCTGAGATGTTTACAAGTAGATATAAAAACCCTCTGGAACATGTTTTGTCTGTGTGTGGTGTCCACTTTGAACTGAGTACAGCTGATACCGTATGCCTTCACAGCTGTGAATAAAGAAATCTATCTGTTTGAGCTGTTTGAGACTGTTTTTGGGTATGTCAGGTCGAACTGAGAACCCAGGGCAGTGACAGAGCTATAAATCCGCCACTTCAAGGGCATGATTTGAACCAAGAGGTTTTAAGGGAGAGTAGATGTTTTTGGAACTAAAAATAACACTTCTGAAACTCTGCTGAAATTTTGTGCATTTTGTCCCTAACAGTTCAAAGACATACCTAGGTATATCAGTTTAACAGCTGAGAAACCTAGTTGCTTTGCATGAATGCTAGTGAATGCCATTTCCCCCCAAAAAGTTATAACTAGTAACAGGTCATGCTTTTACTAAGAGGTTGTAGCATCCTTTTTCTAAAGGCTGTGACTTCTAACAAGGTCATGCCTTTCCAAAGATCATAAAGTTTATGGAGATTTCCATTTTCCAAGAATTTAAAGGGGTTTCAGCCTCTCCCTAGTCTTAAAGGGGCCCAATATCTCCTGCTTCATTCTGGGGTCCATGTTGTGCTATATCTCTTATTGAGAGCTTCGAGACATCACTTGTTTGGACCACAATTCCATAGTTTCTGTGGTCATCTCGGCTGGAAGAGGGTGGAAATTTCAGTACAAGAAAGGGACTTTCCCAAACTTTTCCCTGACCAAAACTGATATGTCTTTCCATGGAAACACAGGCCAATCTGTCACTTTGAGATCAAATAATCAGAATGATAAAGATGCACGGGGTCCTGTGGGCCATAATCTCCAACTCCTTCTAGAGATGCAGCATCTACACAGGGAGCTGTCCAGCTTCTATCTGAATATGTCCAAAGAAAGAGATAACACCACTTCAGTAGGAAAAGTTCTATTGCTAAACTGCTCTCACTGTCAAGAAGTTCCTTCTGATATTCAATCAAAATCCACCTTCCTATAACTTCCTATAACCTCGGAAGCTAGTTCCAGCTTCCGAGGGGGCTGAGAACAAGCCTGCACCCCCATCTTTGTCACATCCCTTGATGTATTTAAAGAAGTGATCATGTCAAGCTGAAGATGTTCATTTTTTTCAACTTCTCATATGTTTTGTACCTCCATACCTCACCTTGGTTGCCCTTCACTCCAACTTGCCTATATCATTTTTAAAATGCCCAGAAAGAACACAATACTCCAGATGAGACCTGACCAGTATAGAATATAGTAGCACTGTTACGTCCCTCAATGTGGAAATTATAGTTCTATTAATGCAGGCTAGGATAACACTTGTCTTCATTGTTGCAGTATCACATTGCCAGCTCATGTTCAATTTTTGATCAATAACAATCCCAAAGTCTTTTTAGATGTAGCAAGGCTGATCCAAGTAACCCCATCCTATACATATGCATTTTGGTTTTTTTTAATACACATGCACACATCCAGATATAGTAAAGTGTGTCTGCATGTTTTAAAATACAAAGTGTTGTTTTTTCTTTGTTAGAAGTCACAAGGTTACATTCTTTGTTAGTTCTATTTTGAGTAGCTCATGGAAATCAATGAGGTGTGTCAAAGAAGTCTAGTTTCATTTCAGTGATTCTCCTCTAAGCAGGATAACACTGCCTGTAGTCACCCATTGAAAATGCTGAGATCTTTTCCTTTACCTGATACATCTAAGTGCTCCAGGTTTGGACACAGTGAGACCACATCAAAGACTGCCTCGTTGGAAATGTTGTAGCAACCCGACACTTCCAGCTGCCTCAGTTCTGGACAGCACTGAGCAATGGTGTAGAGACCTCTGTCCGTGAGCCGCCTGCAGCCACTAACAATTACTGTCTCCAACATGAGACAGACGTTTGGTGTGTCCTGGCAAAGCCGCCGGGTCAGTACCTTCAGCGCTCTGTCCACATTGATTGTCTCGCCCATCAGGCGAATAGTCCTCCAAAGGCGAGGGTCCCAAGCGAGGTTATACCAACGGCGGCAAACTCGGGCACAGCGGCACAGCTGATTAGTAGGTAAGAAGGAGAAGATGTGGATCACTGACTGGTCTGGGAGCCGATCGATGTTGGCCTGTTCCTTCCGAAGCTGGGAGGCAGAGCGGATGAGCGGATGGGTGAGTCGAGTTGGAGGAGGTGAGTGAACCATCGCAATGGTTTCCCCAGTGACTGAGGAGGAAGAGGTGGAAGATGCCTTTCCATTCTGCAAGCTGTGTGAATTTGGGGGACATATTAATGCTGGGCTGGGTGTGCTGAGGGTACGCATGCTCAGGTCGGAATCTGAAAGACATGAAAAACACAGAACAATGAGGGTATGCTATGCTAAAGTACACATTTATTTATTTGTTTACTGCATTTGTATACTGTCTTTCTCAGCCAGAGCAAGGCGGTTCACAGCCAGTAGTGATTTGATGCCATAACAATATCAGAATACAGTTAAAAACAATCATAAAAACTATTCAAAATTTAAAATATTGAAACAATATTTTAACAAAAACAATAACAACAATAAAAACAGTAGAAACTATATCTGACTAGACATGTAGATTCATAATCTACTGCCATTTACTGTAGTAATGAGTGAGGAGTAATGGTCAATACAATATGTATTGTATCAACCTATTTCTATGCTGTAAAGAAAAGATACACATCTCTTTGTCTTCATGTTATTCATTAGAATTACTCGAAGATCATATGTGGGAAGCATGAGATATGTGAGTCAAATGTCAATCCAAAAGGCATGTGGCATCCCAGAATAATTTCTTGTCAATTTCCTTGAAATCATTGGACATTTGGAGTGCGATTCCATTCTAAAACAATGTGTTTTCCCTCTCTATCTTGTTTTAATAGGAAATGAAGGGCCTGAGATATTGCATTTGGTGGTGTTCATCTATCACATAACTATGTCTCCCAATGCGAGTCTTCCCAAATTCACCTTATAAAGAGTACAGTCCCACTCCCCAACCTGCCCATTTCTGTGTTGTTGGAGAGTACTGGGATGAGTGGGGATGCATCCAGATATTTTCCTGAATCCGGGAATGCTGCAATGGCATCCTCAAACACTTCCAGGAGTCCTTGGGATGCCCCTATATTGCATCACTTAATAATAATAATAATAATAATAATAATAATAATAATAATAATAATAGCAACTTTCGAATCCAGACTGACAAAGTTTTGGAACACAACATGCCAGACATCACAATTGTGGAAAAGAAAAAAGTCTGGATTATTGATGTCGCCATACCAGGTGACAGTCGCATTGAGGAAAAACAACAGGAAAAACTCAGCCGCTATTAAGACCTCAAAATCGAACTACAAGGCTCTGGCATAAACCAGTACAGGTGGTCCCAGTGGTTATTGGCGCACTGAGTGCCATGCCAAAAGATCTCAGCCGGCATTTGGCAACCATAAACATTGACAAAAGCACAACAACAGAGAGGAAGCAAACAAGGACATCTAATCACCTCTCAACAAAAAATTGCCCCAGGCACTTCCAGGCCATCAAATGCGAATCAAGGTGGTCAGTTGAAACATTCACACCTAGCTCCAGCAGACAAGAGTCCTTTGTCTCACTCTGGTCATTCCACAGATATATAAACCCTTTTTCCTAGTTCCAACAGACCTCACTACCTCTGAGGATGCTTGCCATAGATGCAGGCGAAATGTTGGGAGAAATGCCTCTAGAACATGGCCATATAGCCCGAAAAAACCCTACAACAACCCATTGACAAAATCACGATCTGTCAACTGCAAAAGGCCACCATACTCTGTGCACATCATTCGAAAACACATAACACAGTCCTAGACGCTTGGGAAGTGTTCGGCTTGTGATTTTGTGATACGGAATCCAGCATGTAGATCTCGTATACTGTGACATACTGTGCTTTTGTGTCAATAATAATAATAATAATAATAATAATAATAATAATAATAATATGGACTCCTCTTGTTGTGTTTCAAATAATAATAATAATAATAATAATAATAATAATGACTCTTTATGCTGTATAGTATTTAATGGGTAAAGGTTCCTGTGTTTGAGAGTCCTCATATACCATACTGGAGTTTATGGAGAAATAAACTCTGCCTCTGCCGTCTTTGGATTCTTATCAGCTTGTGTGCTTGTCTTATATGAATTGCAACAGCAAACACTACAGTCCCTGAAGATAATGTCCCTGTAGTATGTCCAGTTACAGATAAATAGCTGGATGCATCTCTGCTCATCTCCCTGCTCTCCAACAATGCTGGAATAATTTGAGGGGGGCAGGGGAGGGCTGAGCTGTTATATAAAATACATTCAGAGAGAATTTTGGCTTTTGTACTGTGGGAACAGAATTCCAACCTTCCTAACAACCAAAACAATTAGTTGCAGTGGTGTAAATCCGGCTTATCTAATCCATGAAAAGGATCTCAGCCAGACATTTTAAAAATATGGAAGTGGCTTGCTCGGGCCTTTTTAAAAAATCGGATGTGACCTTTATAAATCTGGATCCAACACAATGTGGAAATAGAGTGTTTGAGGCTACTTTGCTTTCAAGTCAGAGCGCTGCTCTGTCCAGCCCTGCCTTGTAGAGTCCGGCAGTGGTCTCCAGAGTCTCTGGCTCATTTAACTGGCGATTGAACTCAAGACCTTTTACAGATGCAAAGCCTGCACTCTACCACTGAGCTAAGGCTTTTACATCAAAAAGTCAAGTGCAATGGCAGGGCAATTTTTCCAGGGTCACGCAAGGGTGGGGATGGAGGGCAAGCAAGACTCATGCTTTACTTTTCTAGTAATTGCTGCACTTGGGGCCTTTTCCTTCCTGTTGCCACTGCCTACAACATCATAATGCACCGAAGTCTGCAGCTGAACCTGAATAGGAATATTTAGCTATGGCCTCAGGGAGGGTGAGATTGTTTTTAACTTTGGTAAACTAGATTTTTCTAAACAAACATTGATAAACTTAATTTTTTTAAAAAATCCAAAAATAATTAATAATTTTTTCTCTTGACCTGCATTAAAAATAAAATTTAAAGCTAAATCACATAACAAACATGCTAGCTAAACCAGAACTTATGTGTATGTGTAGACTTACAAATCGCCTGTCAACTTAGGGCGGTCTCATGAATTTCAAAAAGTTTCCATACAGTATCATAAAAATGTATGAGTGATTGTGTTATATCGACACAAACTGAGGTAAGTGACATTTGAAATGATTATATATATGTATGTGTGTGTGTGTGTGTGTGTGTGTGTGTGTGTGTGATGTTTGTTTGTGGGATTAACATAACTCAAAAACCACTCAACGAACTGACATGAAATTTGGATACTACACCCCTAACAGGGCAATGAGTGACCATCACTCATAAAATCCCCCCCAAAACAGTGGAAAGGACTTACCCCCCCCCCCAAAAAAAGCTAAATGATGAAAAATAAATGACAATACAGAAAAAAGGGAAGAGGAAGGGGAGAAAGAAAATAAAAAAGAAAGAGGGAGGGAAAGAAAGAAGGAAGGAAAGAGAAGGAAGGAAGGAAAGAGGTAGAGAAAGAAGAAAGGAGAAGGAAATGAAAAGGGGGGAAAGAAAGGAAAGAGGAAGAGAAGGAAAGAGAGAAGGAAAGAAAATAAGGGAAGGAAAGAGGGAGTGAAGGAAGGAGGGAAAGAAGGAAAGAAAGAGGGGGAGAAGGAAAGAGAGAAAGAAGGAAGGAAAGACAGAAGGAAGGGAAGAGGTAGAGAAGGAAGAAAGGAGAAGAAAAAAGGGAAAGAAAAAGGGAGGGGAAGAAAGGAAGGAAACAGCGAGGAAAGGAAGGAGAGAAAGAAAGAAGAGAAAGAGAGAGGGAACATTGGCCACAGCAATGCGTGGCGGGTACAGCATATGTATGTGTGTGTGTATATATATATATATGGAGAGAGAGAGAGAGAGAGTAAGAGTATTCTCTTCCTGTTTTGGTCTACGAACCAAAAGGGATAGCAATAGCATAGGAGAGAAACCGTATATTCATTTAGTATTGAGATTGAAAACTAATCTTAGGGCCCTTACAGGCAGGCCCTAAAATACCAGGATCTGATCCCAGATTTTCTGCTTTCAACTGGATTATGTGAGTAAACACTGCCAGATGATCTGAGATAAACAGAAAACCTAGGATCAGATCATGGGAAATAGGGCCTATCTGGAAGGGCCCTTAAAAAAAGCAACCAGCATGGTGTTCTAATTTAACTAATTTACAATGCTATAAAAACCTTCCAGCAGCGTGCAGAAGAATGAGGAACTACTCCATCAAAGGACTCGGTGTCACAATGGACGGTGAAGTGGCAGCTCCCCCTGTGGTCAGAATTGAGACACAATCCAGTATACACTCATGAAGCCGGAAAATGCTTGGGCACAACTGGAATATTAAATTGCATCTGCATCTGTCTATATATGTTGTATGTCTAACTGTCATTGAATGTTTGCCATGTATATGTGCATTGTAATCCACCCTGAGTCCCCTGCGGGGTGAGAAGGGTGGAATATAAATACTGCAAATAAATAAATAAATAAATAAATAAATAAACAAATAAACAAATAAATAAATATAAATGTTTCTAAAGGACTTACAAAACTAGGGGGCGCTGGTGCCTTGTTTCTAAAGTGTTGCTAAAGTTCTGGTGGTGAAAACTTTCAAAATTTCATTATTATTTCATTATTGGCGATTTTTATGACAGAACCCAATTAGGAACTGCCATTTATAACAAAATTTTGAAAGTTTTGTTAAAGTTCTGAAATTTTCACCACCACAACTTTAGAAACACTTTAGAAGCAAAGCACCAGTGGCCCCTAATTTTGTAAGTACTTTAGAACAATTCAGAATGAAATATTCCAAGAAGAGAATGCAAGAAAAAAACTTGGAAAGATCACTTAATAATTTCAAACCATCCTTTCTCTTGAATTCCCTCATTTTTTTAAAAAAAGGAAAAGGAAATGCCTAATATTTACTACTGGGAAGAGTGATTTTTTGAGTAATATAAGGAATGAGCTGAGACTGGCAAGGAAAGCAAGAAGTGGCAAAAAGAGGGTTGTCCAAGGTCACCAAGTGGGTTTTTATGGCCAAGTGGGTATTTGAATCCTATTCTCCAGAGTTGTGGTCCAGTGCTCAAATTATTACAACAAGTTGACTTGGAAGTGACTCAAAGGCATACAACAACAATAGCAATAGAGTATCTCCTTATATGGACTATATTTTTCTCCACTTTGACAGTAAAAGTCTTCTCATCTGGTACTGAGAATGAACAACTGTGATAGCGCCTAGTCATACATTC